TTCCTCTCGCTTTTTAAACTCTTACTTCGCGAAACTTTTTTTATTATATTCTCTGTTCACAAAGTTTTCTATTTTTCGTATAAATTTATATTATATTCCGTATTAAATTTATATTATGCTTTTGTTTTAAGATGTGCCTCTTCACATCTTGTTCGTGTCGAACTTTGCATAAGAGATGGACGAAATAATTATTAAAAGCTTCTTAGAGAGATTGAAATAATAAAGGGAAAATATTGCATGTTCCGTATCGCACTAAATAGTAACACGTTTATCCTAATAAATTATATCATAAATTCCTATTATATCGATTAAATGAATACATCGGATGCGACAGCAAGTTCGGGCAAACGTAATGCATAAATGTCGAATAAATGTAGAGATATCATTATAATTTATATAAGAAAAAATATAAAATTACAAAAAGGAAGTTACATAATCTCACTAGAGAGAATTTGTCAAATGATCGAGATCGAATTCTGTGACAGGGAGGTCGACGATCGTCGGAATGATAATTTTCGAGTCGCGCCTGTATTATTTGGGCGATTTAACATCGACGCTGTTGAGGATGTAATAATACGGGAGCGGAAAATCGAAGGTATTACTCGCGAAATCACAACGCGAGACTGTCAAGCGTAGTTGGAGCCGAGATAATACCGGTATTTGGACGAGACTCGTCGTGCGACATTCTGCCAAATTGACCCTCAGTCAAACGTAAAACTCGAATTCGTGTTGGCGCGTTCCGGTGAATTTTTCGAGCGGATTTTTGTACGACAAAATTCCGCGGAATCGCGCCGAGAACAATTCCACGGGCTAATTTCGTTCCGTCGAGATATAATTCGGAACGTTGCGGAAATCTCAGAATCGAGACGAGAAAGCTGCCAACTACATGCGTACTTTACAGCAATAACCATCACCGTAGTGAGAGACATAATTCAAGCGCAATGTCGCTAACATTGTTTATGGGACGTTTGTTGACTATAAGCAACATAAATAAAGGCAAGAATGCGGAAAACCGAGAAATCTGCGAAATTCACGCGACAATAAAATTACGTTTAGCCCCTTCAACACGAAATAAGGCAAAGTGAAATCGATTGATAACTATAATCAATGCACATCGCGATATCACATCGCAAGAAATATACTGCTTATTCATAATTTGTTCCAGATATCAGAGCTGTTAATATTTCCAATTAATAATTCCCATTAATAATATACAGTAATTTACTGCGAAAAAAAGATATCACCACAAAAAATATTTTTATACATCCATTCTAGTACATTGAATAAAGTAGCAATATTCTTCTTGTTTACGCGAAAGTATCACAAGAAATGAGAAATATGTACAAATGTCAACGTTATATACCAAAATTTTCCGGCGATTTCTTTCACTTGTCTCAATTGAATAATATATCGATTCGCATAATAAGAGATATTGATTAGATGAACCGGAAGCAAACTTTACCTCTCTGTTCTTTAGATGATATTTCCGTTTCTGCCACGAATCACTCCTGTCGACATCATAGTTCTACCGTGTGTTTCGACGATGCAGACTCAGTTATCGATCATTCACACTAATCGCCCCCGAAGAGGGAGGAGGCTCTGTTCCATTCACTTCAAAAATGTGACAATTCAATATCGCTCGCGCACCAAACTCGCGACTCGCGATCACTTACACCGAACAATCCGGATTCGAGTTTTTCGATTCGTTTCTTCAAAGTGTTCTTCTATCTCACGAAGAACACGAAACACGCACCAGATCCTACCTCCTCGAAATCCACTAAGATCACTTCCACCCTCATCGGACACCTCCCGTGCCGCCCTGAACACCGTCACTCGAGATTCTCCGGGAAGCATTCGAATGATTATCCGGCATTCTCGGTCCAACTTCTCATCGTCTTTTCAGTCCGAGCGATTTTAACGATCCCCCCCAACCGACCACCATCGATCTTTATTTTGACGGTTAAATTTCATCGTGCACAGATTTCCTTGATCTGACTCTTTGCCCGAAAGATTGTCGGATTTAGAACGCCTACTTTATCATGATTGTGCTTCCCTATCCCGGGAATTGAGCGGTGACAGTTTTATGGTAACAGCACTACGTATACATAATAACACGTCCCCGGATTAGATGTGCATCATGACAGGCGGGTCGTTTCCGATGCTCCGTCCGCGTTATCACGACACTCGAAAACTGTCGTGCCTGATGAATCCTTGTTCGCGGGAAGGCCTGATCGCGTAGGACACGCGCGGATTCTCCACCCGTGAAACTCGGTACCCGTGTGTCTTCGATTCCCGAGGCTGTCTAAGCACCCGCGACGAGGAGGGAGGCGAGAGCAAGCGAGCGCGCGCGCGCGCGCCCGCGCGTTTGTTCGTTCGAGTGGGGGAAGAAGTGGGGGTGGTCTCCCGACGTCCCAAGAGGGCGGTTCGCTCCTCGCGTCTCCTTCAGAAGACCCCCGGCGAATTCAGGCCTCGTCACGGCGTTTCCACCACCGCCGCCACCCTCGTGGTACGAGGGACGCCACCCTCGCGACGACAGTAACGCTGTCGTCGTCGCCGGAATCGCGGGGTGGTTCTCCGGCGTTCTCCAACGAGCCCAGAGAATGCGTCAGAGAGGAGAGAGAGTGCGCGTGGCTCGGCTGGCGCGAGATGACTGAACCCCTCCAAAGGGTGAGAGACAGCGACGGCGGAGAGGGGGGAATAAAGGAGGGGAAGGAGAGAGGGGGGGTTAGAAACACGCCGCTCTCTCTCCCCAACCTGGCCCCTCTTTCACCGAGAGGGAAAGATCGCGGGATACTTTGGGGGTCCCCACCAGTTTAACGTTCGTAGGATGCCCCACCCCGTCGGGCATAGTGACGTGTCGCATTCTCCCCGCCTTCGGCCGATGTTCCACCGCCTCCCACCCCCGGTGGTACGCATCGCTGTTGCCCTCCCCCTTCCCCGCCGACGTTCCCCTCCGACGTCGCCGCGGCCGTGTGGCGGTGCCGCGACGACGACGACGGCGACGAGACGGGGGCAAAGAAGAGACGGCAGTTCTGCCACCGCCGTGCGATTCCTTCCTCTTCTTCCGCTCCTCGGCCGCTGTCGCTCGCATTCGTCCACCGGCTGGCGAACCGCGTGCACCGCTTTGTATGCCGCCGCCGAGATAATGATATCCCGCACGCGCGCGTGCGAATAGTGGATCCGCGGGGGTGGTTCCGCGGGGGGAGAGCGTTAATCTTATTATTATCGGAGAGAGGGGGCCACAGGTAGGGCAACGAAATTGTCTCGGAATAATAAGTAAATAATTTCCATCGCGTCATGAGGATAATGTACAGCGTGACAAATGTTGAAATAAAATTCTTAAAAATACTATCTGGGTTAACTTTTAATAATAAAGTGATCGGCTTAATATTTATTGTTAGTTTCGACTCTCTCTAGTTTTCCTCTCGTACTCCGAAGAGTAAGATAACGTACTTTTAAAACAAGTCTGCTTCGACGAATTCTGTTACTACGGTTACATTACTCTTAATTGATTACAGAATTGCTTTCTCTGTATTTATATTTTTTGCCGGACAATGTTCAGCATGGTTGTATCAAGTGACAAAAGACTTGATACGCAAAGCAGAACATTAGATGATCAATATATCAACACGATTTCGCGAACAGATTCGCGAAAGACGAAGTGCGCAAATTTGGAATGCATTAATTTTCCACCCCTGCGCAGAATCGCCACTTTACCCCGCACAGAAAGATCCCACCGACCAATGACGTCACTCGAGTGCCCTCGAAGGACACTCCCACTTTTTTACCCCCGCAAAGGTCCTTACGATGCCGCCGATGCTTATCGCCGATGCGTTACGTAGGGGTGACGATTATTCGAGGGATGGGTGGGGGATCTATGGACGTTGCTAATTGAGAGAAAACGAGGGATGCTATGGCGAGGGATGCTATGAAAGAACAATAGATCTAGCTTTTTTATAAATAAAATTATGTTTGCTAGTTTTATAAGATTTTTAAAAATATATTTTTTTTTTATTATTATGGATAAATTATGGTCGAGTGATTTATTTCCAATATTATATTATTATCGATTGAATAAAAAGCTGTTTTAGTTCAAAACTTTTGAAAAGAGAATGACAAAGTATTGTAAGGATTTCTTTTTCTTGTACTTGTTATTATTCCCGTTACATTTCTGATACATCGCGACATTAATATCCCTTCCAATTTTTAGATTGACGTTTCCGAGCTATTTACATCGTGCGGGTAGCTTGTAACAGGGATTAAGGATGATTAAAGCTGAAAAGAGTCATGAACGAAAATGGGTCTGATTCACGTGATTATACCAGTCCGTCGTGTGAACGCTCCTCGTGCCTCTTTTGATTTCTTTAACGCGCTCATTTATCACAATTATCGTTCCGTTCCTATTTATATTTGTATATTTCGTCTTTGTATGTGTCCGCAGTTACCCGTGTTACGCGTCTTCTCGATTTATGAAAATCTTGCGTAAATTATTATTATTAATAGAAAATTACATTTTATTAAATATATACTCATTCATTTATTGAAATTGAATGAAATTATATTAGCCTATTTTAGCTTATAATTTACTGTTCTTTTTTACTCAATATTTAAAATATTATTATTAACATTGTAAGAGATAGAAAGAGAGAGAGAGAGAATAGTTTTAATTATTACAAACGTATATTTTTACGAAAATTATTGTTATAATCAATCTGCATAATTATTATAAATATCTTTCTATATTTTTTGCTCGGCGTAGCGAATCAAAATTTCAAGCAGGAAGGACGGTGAACCCTTTCCCGTATTATGAAACGACCCCATTTGGACGTCGCAACAACCAGTTGATGATCAGGTAGTCGATTTTTGGAAAAGTAGAATGTGGGAAAAAAGTCGCGGTATCCCGTTAGGTCTCGAAAGGGTTGAAGCGAAACCCCCCCGAAAATAGGTCAGAACACTCGCGCGTCCTCTCGTCATCTCTCTTCCTACCACGACGTTTTCTTAAAGGGCCGCGCCTTAATCCACCAATAAAATATCATGTTTCCAGGTATCGGAAGCTGATTTTGCGTAATGTACCAATGATTGGACCGCCGCAGCCTTCCGAAGGGGTTTCGATTTCCGTGAAAAGGGTTTTTACCGTTTCGAGGATCGTGTGAGAAAACCATTAGCTTAAAGAAACCCTTTAAATAACGGAATATCGCGCCGATCGCTCGGGGATGAATGGAAAAGCTATTTTTTATTTCAGGTATAGCCAGCATATATCCGGCTCCATTTGCTCTATATTACTACTTCGATGTATAAGAACATATACATGTAAGGCGTGCAAAAAAAAAAAGACCATAAAATTTGCTTGAAATTTCATCTGTATGATGTAATTCAGTAATATAATATTTTTTAAATAATATAATAATCGTAATAATAATTTTTTCTTGCCTCGATAATCGATCGTTGATGAGGGATGGATTTACGGAAAGAATCTGGCGGACAAACGAAAGTTGAATGATCTCCTTCTCGGAGCACTCTCCGAAGTTTAAAAATACCGCTCAGAGTCTCAGCCCTTCCAGTGAAAATATGAATTTTTTATCTCTCCCTCGCGCGCGCGCGCGAACGCGCAAGCCATATGGTTGATGCGCGTCTCTCCCGAGGGTAGAAGGACAAAAAAGAGAGTCCGGGGAGTAGGGAGAGAGCGCGGCCGAAAAAAACGGAGAAACTCCATAAGACGAATATTTTTAGAGTCGAATTTCCAAGGTAGTTTCCGTGGTTCCGTGCGAGGGATAGGAAAGAGAAAAGGGTTGCCGTGCTTCTCGTTTTTTCCTTTTTCTTTTTTTTTTTTTCACCGCACGCCACCCTATCGTTTCCGCGTCTACATTCTTCTCGCCGCGTCCTTTCCTCTGCCCCTCCCTCCCCCTCACCTGCCCCCTTCTTATTTACGGGATTCCTAGATAAACCAGATGTCATCTTGACAAATCTTTCCTAGCAGTCTGCCTTCTATCATCATCTTTTTATATCGTGTTGTGCGAGAAAAACTCGGAACGATTAAAGGTCTAAAGATACGACGCATCTTTTACACGAAAATAAAAATCGATATTCGAAGCTATTGGGAATGTGTTTCAGATGGATAATGAGAATCGAAAGCGTCGCGCGCGGCCAACCCGCGGCGGATTGAGGCGGATCTGGATGCGTTTTGTATCCAGTGCGCGCGTGTCGTCGGCGTATCTACGAGCCTTGTACTCGGGTAGCGAGTCCGTACTCGCGTCGTCCGACATGGAATGTGGTCCGGTTCTCTCGAGTGCGCGCGCGAGCGGGCGCAGACGCGAGCGGCGAAGGGCATGCGCTTGGTGTGTGCGTGCTATAGTTCCCGTTTTTTATCGCCTCGTAATGCATTAGCCATAATAGCCGCACGCACTTAATGGACTGTAGCCTCGTTACAGTACGCCACGTCGTGGGTGGATACGCCGCTTACGTCTGCGCTTCGGTTGCTTCTCGCTCTCGCCTTGTCAATCTCCGCGAGCGCATCGATTCGCTAATGATTTTTTATCCTTCAAGAATTTGCGGAAATATTAAGAAATCAGCGAAAAATTTTTTCCGTATTTATTTTCATCGAAAATACTCCTAGATATACGGTGTGTTTGATTCAAGTGTACACTCAGTTATTTTCTTAAATATTAAATCATAGAGATTATATATAGATTTTTTAAATAATATTCTTAATCATTTTATTAAAAAAATGTTTAAAATAAAAGTTATTTTATTTAAGAAGATTTATATAATGACCTGAACAAAAATTTTAAATTATTTTTTTTAATATTGTCCATGATAGTTTTATTTTTTTAAATGAAATAATATTTATATTTTACTATAGTTTTCTAAGATATTTTATGACAACGTGCAATCAAATGAGATTTTCAATAGTCATAAGATATTGTCTTGTGTCGCTTTTAGAGAGGCTTTTTTAGCGGAAAAACAAAATAACTATTATTTAAAAAAAATTAATTGAATGTACACACATTTAAACCAAATACCCTGTATATACATATATGGAGTTGCGAAAATATAATAATTTTATTTTTACTTTGAATCAAATATATGTGATTGTCTCTTTTTAAAATAATTTGGAAATTTAGTAAATTTAGTTTCATCCAAATTATTATGTCGGCATTTCATACATTTTCTTTGTATTTGCGTACATACACTGCGACCTTTATATCCCGGTACATGCAATTTTATCCGCTCTCGCAATGAAACCATTACTCGCGCATTACCCTCGACCATTCGTCAAAGCAATCACGCTTGCTATTCTCCTTAA